TCTCGATTACGATTAAATGTTAATATTACACAGAACTTCTGCCTGTGTAGCTTGTCTCTCCCACTCATATTTCTGCTTTCCTATTGGTTGATTGGCGATCAAACAAAAGAGCGTAAGAATACGTGTGAGTTGAAATTGCTGAAATCAGCCACTACTGGGCATCTATGGTCTAGATACGGATTCAAAGAAACCAGACAGCTGCTATGTGGAAGTTTTGCCTTTTCTTTTAGTATTTTGTATTGGCTTTCAAAATAGCATTGCTGGGTAAACATGATAACTAGACGCTTAGCATGTCGATTCTCTTCTTGAGAAACATCGGAACAACATTTAAGTGTCGTTTGGAATATCGCATAACAAAAGCATACGCTCTGTAGGCTCAGTTTAATTGTGAGGAATTTGTCATAGGATCTTTATCCATAAGTTCTTCCTTGTCATTGCCAGTAAAGGTTGTAAGTATCAATACTTTAGATGGTTTCTTTTCTACATTAGTGACAACTACTTTTTTGGTATTTTAACAATTTTGGTCCATGTCACCGCAAATGATGTGTTTTTAAGTCGATTCACGACTTGCGTTATTAGCTGGATTAGCCTCAGAGTCAAAATGACATTATCATTAATTTAAAACATTTTATTTTATTTCGGAAATTCTGTTTCCTAAAAATGTGCAAAAATAATCCTGAAGTCTGTCCAATAATAAGACGCAGTATTGAAATTTGAAGGTTCTTAATTGTGGAATGGGCTAATTTGGACAAAAAAAAAAAAATAAGTCCGCAAAGTCGTGGCAACGAAATCTTTTTAATTAGTGCTACCCAAGTTTTTTGTAAAATTGAATAATTGAGCTGGTGATCGATAGAAGGCGGTTTAACAGAAAACAATCTCCTGAGATGTTCATTCTGACAAGTGGAGTCTTAGTATATGCATTTTCAGATAAATTTAGCCGATTGAGGGATAACAGTTGATCCTCTGGTATATCTTTGATTATTTTGGGCTCATTTGAAGTCCAAAAGTTAAAACCTACCTTGCGTGAGTCAACTGCCTCCTCAATCGAATGGCCTCCCGCAATCATAAATTTTGTAAAAAAAATTGCTAGCCTTATGGTATGTATTTCAAATGTTATCTGCATGAGTTTGCAAAATGCTGAAAAGGGTGTGCAGTTCACTCCGAAATACTGTCAAGAGCTCAAAATCTTCCTCAGGGTTGGAAGAAGATTTCCTAAAGAGAATTCTTTATAAATGTATTTAAAGAACTCCAATTAAGTATTTGTAGAAAAATGTCTTGCTGTAGTTAATTGATTGGGTTTGATGACCGCATTGTGTGGCAAAAAAATAATTTCGGGTCCGATTTATTTCCTCAAATGAAAGTTTACTCCTTTGTCAAAAATCTAGGTATTCTTATATCGCCTTGTCGTATGAGTCTTTTATTTTAGGAGCCTTTGAAAGATTTTTTCCTTTCTTAAGAATTGTGCGAGGGCTATGTTTCGAGAATTTTCCAACTCCTTACAATTTGTTAAGGGTAGGGTAACAATATATCTCACATTTTTATTTCTCTTTGTTGTTTCTATGTAGTTTTGTTCACAAACGGAGCCTTCTTCTGACCTCAACAGTTTTTGGATTATCTTCCACATTTCATAATCTCTTCTATTGAAGTTGTGTTGAACTAGGGAAAGTTATGAGCATTTCTATTTCTTTATGAGCTTTTCTAAACGATTTTGTAGGAGTCTAATGTAAGAGTTATGGGTCCTATATACATCCCTATAATAAGATCGAGAGGTCGACTTATGTGGAATTTGTGGTCTGCTTAATTAAGACCTATAATATTTGTTAGTTTAGTCTCTTCAATATTTTGTGTAGGTAAATCAGACGGAGGAGTCTTCAAAACTGTCGCCCATATATCTAACTCAAAACTACTGCCTTCTTAGTTTTAGGTTTTTCTGAGATAAATGTAGATTGAGATCCACAGTTTATAGTTTGCACTGCCATAATATATCCTCTATGTTGGACTTGTACAATTGCAGTGAAAAGCGTAGTTGCGCTAGGATTGTTTTCAAAAATTCTATATTCTAAAAGGGTTAGCGCTGTAATATTTGCGGATTCCGTCGACTGTATTGTTGTGTTGAGAACTGAATCACTAGTAATAGGGCGCATTTTATCTCTTGCTAACTTGTGATTTTTGATTATGTAGCGTGGAATGGTGTCTCACACTGCAATATCGGCAGCACAACCAATTTTCACATTCCTTAACGATGATGATTTTAAGAAAGGCAATAATGACAGAGGATAGAAACTTTTACAAAATTAATTCTTTCATTTACTGACTTTCCTATAAAGCGCGGACAAACCTTTATAAATGGTTTGCCACACAAGATCGACAATTCAGTGCGGCTTGATTCCTTCGTGGTTAATTCGAATGGCCCTCGTGGTTGAGAGTTAGACTATGTATTGGTCTGAAATCTATTTTTAAATTTCCATTTTACTAAATTCCGTTTTTTGTGGAGTATAGTTTGGGTTCGTTTGTCTAATGTTGCTCACAGATTCTAAAGATTTAAAATTGTGAGTCAAATAATTGTTGGGATAAGCTACAAGTGGGCAATGTTTTCATATTTTCTAAAGGGTTTTCAATTTTTTCCAAAAAAGATCAAGGTAATTTAGAGAGGCAAAGATAAATAAGGATCGGGTCCAAGCCTTTTATAACAAGTTCAATAGTCTCTAAAGCCTGAATACAACTATTTATGATACATTGTAGTTTTTGAATTATGCTACATGAATCACACATTATGTGGTGTATTTTACAGAGAATGTTAATCTGCTCGTTTGCCTGAATTCTTTTGTTTTCATAACGCTCGGTAAGATTTGTCCTCGCCAAATCGAACCAATCACCCAGTTTCGCTCTTGTTTTCATTCCTTTTCCATTAGTATGAAGGTCAGTAGGTAGGAAAAGGGTCTCGAATTGGATTTACAAAAGGTGTATCCAAGTATCAAATTATTTGGGAACCAAGGAAACCAGACTATTTGTATTGGTTTTCGAATATTTTCCTCCAATGCTTTCTTGTTATGTAGAAAACTGTATTTGCACCCACATTGTTCTTCTTTAAAGAGATGTGTATTTAGAGAAAATATGGTTCCAACGTTCTTCTAAGTAAGTACATTTTTTGGTTTGTTGTTTTTGGAAATTTTTTATGTTATGTTTAATTTTTCAAATGTTCACTCAGTTTTGGTGTGATGTTAGTGTTCAAATTTTGTTCAAATTTTTTAAAATTGTATTTTGATATTTTTCTCAGGTTCCACCAGGGCAGTGGGGACGAATACTAAGTCCCAAGCAAAAGGTGGAAAAACAATGACTGTCGGCTGTAGGGTGTAGGGTGTCATCCAATTGCGGTGCCCCATGTAGCAAGGTATGCTACCTGAGACAGCCCATCAGATTGTTGCAATCGGCCGCTACTTTCTGGGCAGTTTTGACAGGACTCTTTTCGCTCAACTGTCTCATAGCGCGGAAATACAGACAGTTCTCTGAACTTGGGAGATGTCATGATGGCGTGGTATTTCTGACAGAGTCCACATGCATATCGCCAGAAACTCAGCCGTTCTCTCGCCCCCCAGATCTGCTTTTTTATTTTCGTCGTTGCTCTTGACCATCTTGATTTTGACGTTCCTGCTGATGTTGTGTCTGTTGATTGTTACGCCTGTTTGGACATTTTGAGTAACGGTTCGAGTTCTAAGTTTTTTGAACAAATATGCTATATTATTTTTTGAGGATTTAGCGGTACATACAAGGTCCTGTGTTGTCTGGATACAACATACTCTCTGACCTTAAATCGAGCGAAAGCTTTTAAAAATATTCTATGGAAGGATCACTGTTTGCTCCTAAATAGATTTCGTTTGTGGCAAAACATATAAAAAAGCACATGTATCTTTTTTTAAAGAGATAAGAGCGACCTGTGAAGCTGTTGGATCTTATAAGACCATATGGGGCTAGAAACGGATTTAAATAAACCAGGCAGCAGCTAGATAGAAGCCTTGCTCTTCCTTTAATATTTTGTTTTTGCTTTCAAAATAGCATTGCTGGACCATGACCATGATAACTAGACGCTTGGCGTGTCGATTTTCTTCTTGAGAAAAATCGTGATAACATTTAAGTGTAGTTTGGAATAGCGCATAACAAAAGCATACCCTCTGTAGGATAGAGTTAAATGTTGGAAATTTGTTATAGGATCTTCGTCCATAAGTTCTTCTTTAGCATTGCCAGTAATGGTTGCAAGTGTCAATACTTCAGATGGTTTATCTTCTACATTAGTGCCAACTACTTTTCTGGTATCTTAACCACTTTGGTCCATGTCACCAAAAATGATGTGTTTGTGAATCGATCGGTGAGCATCCACGACTTGCAGTATCAGCTGGATCCGCCTCAGCGTCAACATGACGCCATCGATGATTTCCAACATTTTATACGATTTCGGAAATTCTGTTTCCTAAAAATGTGCCCCAGTGGCACGATGGTATGTTGAGTCAAGCACAAATAATTGTGATATCTGTCCAATAATTAGACAGAGTATTGAAATTTGAAGGTTTGTAATTATGGAATTTGCTAATTTGGACAAAAGTGCAGCTCCGAAAGCTGATGAGGTGGCAACGAAATCTGTTTTTCGATGTAACCGAAACACATCTCCTGAGAAGTTCACTCTGACACGTGGTGTACATGTTCCGATACTGTCGAAGAAGGGATTCTACTGAGTAGAGTTAGAATTGAAGATTATTGTTGAACAACACGGATAGCAATATAAATTTGCAAACTACAACAACACAACAATTATTCTGACTATACTTACGTATATTGTCTGCAAATAAAACATTTTAAAAATAATCTTTAAAATTCCCTAATGACACCGGCAGTCAATTTATTTAATTTTAAATGTAATTTTTTATAGATCTGGCGATCGACACTTTCTTTTAAAATTTAAGAAGAAGAGTAATTCTTTGTCGTGGTGATGGGACCCCATCGATTAATTATTTATCGAGGTCGATGAGGTCCATTTCGATGTCATTATCCAACTGGTTGGGCAGATTTCCAACATGCACTGGTGCAACTGGTAATGCAGTCGCTATTCTCGCCAGCATATTTGAAAGATTGTCCAGTTGAGCCAGTTGTTGTTGAGTTTCCGGAACGTTGTCATTTTGATCCGTTAATTGTTCCTGGATTTTATTTTCTTTTCTAGATAGTTGTGGTTTGACATGAGGGTTTTTGTTGGCTCTTTCTTGTTTGCTTTTTTCCTGTTCCTGAATTATTACGGCTTGTTTTTTTAGATCTCTTGCCTCTGTCTGGAGGTTTTTGGCTTCCTCTTGAAGTCCGTTTGCTTCTTGCTGCTTAGTTGTTGATTTTCTTATATGCCCCTGTGCATATTGCGTTTGAAGGCCACTAAGTATTTATTGTTGTTGTCGGCGTTGTGCTTCCCTTTGATTAGCGTATGGGTGAAATCTGGTCGCCGGATAGTTTCCAATTATTTATTATTATTATTGCCATTTTCCATTTCGTGATCATGATTATAAAACTACAATTTATGTAAAGAGGGAAAACAATACCAACGAAAAGGGAAAAGGGCATGACATATTAGTCAGAGTTTTATCTTTTCGAAACACCTACACAACTTTCTACTAACAACCACTGATACCTGTTGTAGTTTTTACATCAACTACTCTTACGTGGTCATCATGCCCTTCATATACTTTTAAAACTAGACCCAACTTCCAATCATTCTTTTATCAACACCATGTCATTTTCCTTAAGACTCCGCCGGGGATACTGCCATTTATGCCGCGTATGCAGTTCCTGAATATATTCGGTTTTCCATCTTTTGCTAAACGTGCGATGAAGAGTTTTAACATTTCCCATCGAGTTATAGGAGATAAATCCTCTGTTGATATTTCTGGAGCAAATATTAGTGACCCACCTCTCAGAAAGTGCGCTGGTATTAAAGCCTCCAAATCCTCTGGATTTTCAGAAGGTCTTGTGTTTAAAACACTTTCAATTTTATCTGAAATCGTTGAAAATTCCGTAAAATTTAATTTTTTATCTTTCATTACCTTTTGGAAATAAGATTTAAATTTTTTTTCTAGGAAATGTTAAAAGCTTCACTTTTTAATGCTGAATAAGCCTTCGTCGAAAAGCATACAAATATACAAATTTTTTCTATAAGGGGAATTTCTAAAAGAAATCTGAAATAGGCCTGCGAAATGGGAGTAGTCCCACATATGTAAAGGGAAGAGTGAAAGCTGTTCGTTCCACAGGTAATGCTGTCATTATCTGCGATTTAACGGTATGTTTATACCTTGCACAAATCAAGCATTCATGAACAATTTTCTTTATTGACCGTCTTAAACTTGGAATGTAAAACTGGCTTCGAACGGTTGACATCACTAACGATATGTCTGCGTGCAGCATAGTTTTGCGGATGAACTTTAAAAATATTTTACAGAAATACGATGAGTTTGAAAATATAATTGGGAATCTTTCATTATAGGAAATGTTAGCGTTCGCTAATCGACCATTAACTCTTATTAGACCATCTTTGTCCAAAAACAGATTGACTGCACGCAGTGAGGTTTAACGTGAAATGTATTTCATCGTGTAACGTCTCTTGCGAATAATGAAACATTTGTGTTATTCGGACAACAATCAATTTTGCATGATTTTACTCCTCTTGAGACAGAATCTTACCATTTGGAAACTCAGATTTTTCATTATTTTCTTGACGCTACTTCATACGAAATATACATCCTACAACCCACAGTGCTTTGTTGTAAGAAGAAACCCTGTTTTTTTTATCAATTATATTTAATAATAATTGGTGCGCAATGTACAACTTCTTTTCGTTGTAAAATTATACTTGATTTTGGCCAATTATTTTCAGGCCTAAGTAACCAGATTGGACCATTCCACCATAGCGAATTATTACATAAATCTTCAGTACAGGGACTTCTAGTTCCAAGGTCTGCTGGATTACACTTTGTAGAAACATGTATCCATTTACAATTTTCAACATTTTGAAATATTAATGCAGTTCTGTTTGCAACATACGTATTCCATGTGAATGGATGTTTTTGTAACCATGACAATACAATTGTTGAATCTGTCCATACATGAACAGAACAATTTTTAATATTCAAATTTGAGACAATATATTTTACCAAAGATGAGAGCTAGACGGCTCCACAAAGCTCTAGTCTTGGAAAACTTTTTTTCAATGGCGCAACTATGCTCTTAGCTGTCAACAAGTTTACAGTTGTGCTGTTCCCTGTATTCATGTCAATATATAATGCAGCACAGTAGGCCTTCTCAGATGCATCACTAAAACCATGTATTTGAATTGTGCCCTCTAGGCAAAAATTAATCCATTTTGGGATTTGTATTGAATCAATTTTTGAAAATTGATTCATAACAATTTTCCATTTAATCAATGTGGATGATGACACTTTATCATCCCCATTAATTCCTTCTAATCAAAGGTAATTGTTTAATTTAGAATTGCATTAAAGTTGGTTTTTATTGACCCCTGGTATCGCAACCTTGTGCTAGCGCCTTTGACATTTTAACGAGTAATTAGTTGTCACTTGTTTTGCCGCCTCCTTTAGACATCAAGTAGTATTTCGCTGTCATTTGGACAGACTACACCCGCAATATCGTTTGCAGCACATATCGTTGTGCATAGAGGCATATTGTTGCCACAGGTAATATCGTTACCAACCAAACTAAGAATAAATAGTTGTATATATTAAGAAAAACCTTTGTGATTTATTTATCTTCTTTTTATATTTCCCCCCTAAGGTCCACTGCTCGACGCATTCGGCGTTTTACTCCCATCGGCGGAGCCCCTCTGAGCTAAACAGTAATTCAACAAAGTTTTAGCCTATATGATTAAAGGCATTAACCACCCTGCTGGATCAAATAGTTTCGAAACTGTTGACAAGATTTTCCTTTTAGTTATTTGGCCAGTCACCTCTAATGACTTCATACTATAAGAAAATGAGTCGTTAATGGCATTCTACCGAGTACCTAATGTTTTAACTGAACTCGTATCTTCAATTCTCAAAAATTCTTCTTTCAATAAATCCTCTGATCGGATGTTTGAAGGCAAACATCCATTATTTTTTTCAACGGAAATCCTGCCGAATGCAATGTATCAATTAGTTGTTTTTGCGTCTCTAGCGCTAAAGCAAAAGTACGACCTCGCGTCAAAACATCATAAATATATTCCTCGTTTTTATTATATTAGACGCAATTGGAATTGTTTCTCTTGACTTTTCTGCCAATTGTAACAATGTGCGAAGCCCCAAATAAGGAGCACAGTTTCCACCAAAAGTAACTGTCCATAACTCACAATCTTTAATTTCGTCATTAACATCTTTCCGGAATAATATTCTTTGATACTGCCGATCAGAAGGATGCACAAAGATCTGTCTGTATATTTTCTCAATGTCACCTTTAAACACTTACTTGTACAAGCGCCAATTCAAAATTATAGACATTAAATCATTTTTTTATAGACATTTAAGGAATACGAGCTTTTCGCTTTACTCGATCCATTAAAGACCACTCTCACATTTGTGCTTCTACTTTCTGGTCGAAAGACAGCATGTTGTGGTAAATAATATGAATCATTACAAATTTCTTTTAAATTCTTTTAATGACAAAAACTCATTCAAAACATCATTATACGATTTTCCCACTTATTTATTCCTTTTTACTTTTGCTTCCACATGCTCATATTGCTTCTTGGCTGTAAATCTGGACGAATCTAAATATGCTTTATTAGAAAATTCATCTTTAAATGGTGATTTTACAACGAACTTTCATCTCAACGACGGTAAGTCGTATGGGTGTCAAATTCCGCACAATAGTTATCCGATTCTGTAGCAATTGGAACATTATTCCCTTCTTCTTGTTTCCAGAATTTATTTTATGCTGAACTAATGTTATCTTCATTACATTCATCTACTTCTACTGAAGCTAAACAAATTTCTTTTGCTTTTATTGGCCCATAGATGTACCATCCATAAATTGAATTTTGAGCTATCATGTATCCCACTATGTTCTTCTTAATACCTTCCAATATCTACTTGGGCAGAAATTTTAAACCCAGGGTCCGCTTGTAAATTAGAAATTACTACTGTTTGTGTCGGTAACAAACTTGTTAAATTAATTACACAATTAATGCTTCAGTTTAAATTTCGTTATTGCTTATATCTGAACACAGCGTCAGAATACATTTTTAATTGGAGTTTGCTACAATTGTTCCACTCAGCCCACTTATCTTACAATTTGCCTTTTCTGTGCAAAGTCCGATTCTTTTTTCAATTTTCCGGGTTATAAATCTTCGCTTAGAAGCAGAGTCAATGAGCGTTGTAACTGTAAAGAGTTTTTTTTTTTTATAGTTTATTTAACTAATGCTGTTGGCAACATAATGTCAGCATGACACACTGAAACATGTGTTTCCACATTGAAAGCTTGAACTATCGAACTAGATGAACAAGGCATTTCATCAACAGTATTGTCAGTGGTAACAAGAGTATTCGTTTGACGTCCTTTGCTGAACGGACAAGTACTTGGTTGTATGGATCTCTCTCGCACATTACTTTGTAAGTACAATTTAGCATGATGCCTTTTTTTGCAAAACGTACACCTATGCACACTCACGCATTCCTTCGGAATATGTCCACTTGTTAGGCAATTATTACACAACTTCTTTTCTCCTGCGAACTCTATTCTCTGATTAACAGTCATATTATTAAATCTCATACAATTTTTCAAAATATGGTTGTTATAACACATGACACATCTATTTGATTGTGTCGAATGAGCATTTTTATGCGACATATGAACATTACTAAACGAAGTTGAAGCAGTTTGACTTCTGAGAACTTTTATTCGCTCTAGAACCCGATGCCTGTTTTTAAGAAAATCTTCCATTTGTGACCATTTGGGTTGCTCTGAATGTGATTCGAGTGATTGTTCCCATAGGGTCAGTGTATCAACCGGAAGCTTAGTTGAACATAAATATATTAAAACTGAATCCCATTTATCCATCTTTATACTATGAGCTTCCAATATAGCCAAGCAGTCACTAACTGTCGATTGAATTCTTTTAATTAAGTTTTACTGCGCAAATGATAAAGCTTTTGCACTGGTGTTGTTGTTGGTGTGATGATTTCCATAAATAGCCGTAATTTCCGTAGAAGTCTTTAGTGTCAAAAGGTGGCTCTTTAATAAAATTCGTGCAGAAGGTTGACCGCTTCATATTCGAACGTAGCACAACTGACACCATTATTGATTATTTAATTTATTTTTTAATTTTATCAAAATTTATTTATTTATAAATTTTATTTATTTATATGTATCTATTTTATTAATCCTTTTATTGCATTTATCTTGTATTTGTTTCTATTTGTGATTATTTATATTACACTTTCAAACTTGAACGATCAATTTATTTATTAAACAATAAATGAATATTTTTTCAAAAAAAAAAAAATGTTTGAAGTATAATTGCTTTTTCTGCAAAAAATGTTTTAAGTATAAACATTTATCGAAAACTCATTAATATGTTATCTATTAAGTTTTTAATATTTTTTATTATTCTTTAAATTATTATTTTTATTGCATTTTTTTGCCGTATTGTTATTGTTTGTTTTATTTTAATTAAATATCAATTTATGATATGTTCAGTACTTGTGCTACGTTAACATACGTTTACGACAATCTTTCGTTACCTTAAACTAACTTGCTCACTTTTCCTGAACACTTCCTAAATAATTGATTGTCAGTTTGGCAGCTGACAGATCGATGTAAACCACAAAGAACAGGTGACAATGACTTGTTCAATGTTGAAAAATTACAGATGACCAAAACAAAAACAAATGACAAAAATGATGGAAAAAATTAAGGTGAGAGTGATGTGTGTATTAGTGACAACAAACAACACAAAATCTGCCACTTTCGAATGCAAATTAAACAAAACAACAACACTTCTCACTACTTTACAATTCATTTTAAATTACTATTTTTTTGGATTTTTTAGTAAATCAGACGATTCTTATTTGTTTGGACTCGAAGGCCATGTACAAGTTCCGATACGGTCGAAAGGACTTGTATGGATTCTACTACTAATTCTACTGAGTAGATTTAGAATCGAAGATTATTGTTGAACAAGACGGAAAACAATATAAATTTGCAAACTACAACAACACAACAAGAATTTTGACGATACCTACATTTGTTGTTTGCAAATATAACACTTTAAAAATAAACTTCAAAAATCACTAATGACACTGGCGGTCAATTTATTTAATTTCAAATATAATTTTTTTATAGATCTGGCGATCGACACATTCTTTTAAAACTTTGTTTGTGTGGTGATGGGACCCCATCGAATAATTATTTATCGAGGTCGATGAGGTCCACTTCGATGTCATCATCCATCGGGTTGGGCAGATTCCCAACACGTGGAGTTGCATTTTCGGATAAACTAAGCCAATAGAGGGGTAACAGTTGATCCTCTGGTTTATCTTCGATTATTTTGGGCGCATTGGAAGTCCCTTTTCTAAGTTGAAAGCGTGTCTTACTTGAGTCAATGTGCTTCCTCAATCGAATGGCCTTCCGCAAACACCTGGCCTCCCACACATAAATTTTGCCAGCCTTACGGTATGTGTTTTTAATGTCATCTGCATGAGTGTGCAAAGTGCTAAAAGCGTGCGCATTTCACCCCGAAGGTGACTGTCAAAATTTCAAAATCTTCCGCAGCGTCGGAGAATTCGTTATAAACGTATTTAAAAACCTCCAATTAAGTATTTGTAGAACAAGGTCTTGCTGCAATATTGGCCAAGCAAAAGATTACAATTTAGAAGTGGGGCTCTAAGCATTTAACAGTACACGAAGTTTCGTAGTTAAGCGATTGGGTTTGATGTGCGGCAAATAATAATTTGGTGTCCGGTATATTTCGTCAAGTGAAAGTTTTCTCCTATGTCAAACATCTAGGTATTCTAATATCGCCTTGTCGTATGAGTCTTTTATTTTAGGAGTCTTGGAAAGCTTTTCCTCTTTTGTAAAGAATTGTGCGAGGGCTATGTTTCGAGAATTTCCCAACTCCTCACAATTTTCATAGAGAAGGGTAACAATATATCTCAAATTTTTATTTCCCTTTGTTGTTTCTTTGTAGTTTTGTTCACAAAATGAGTCTTGTTCTGACCTCAAAACTTTAGCGTTTATATTTCTTTATGAACATTTCTAAACGATTTTGTAGGAGTCTATCCTATGTGCATCCCTATGAGAAAATCGACAGGTTGACTTATGTGGAATTTAGGGTCTGCTAAGTTAAGACCTATAATATTTGTAGGTTAAGTCTTTTCAATATTTTTATAGGTAAATTAGACGGAAGGTTCTTCAAAACTGGAGCCCATACATCTTACTTCGAAGTAGGGCCTACTTGTGTTTAGTTTTTTCTGAGACAAATGTTGATTGAGATCCAAGGTTTATATTTGCTCTGGCATCATATGAGTGTCCTCTATTTTGGACTTATACAATTACAGTGAAAACCAAAGTTGAGATTGTCTTCAAATATTCCATATTCTTGAAGGGTTAGGGCTGTGATATTTGCTGGTTCTGTGGACCGTGTTGTTGTGCTGAGAACTGAATCACTAGTAATAGGGCGCACTTTATCTCTGGCTAAGTTGTGATTTTGGATTCTTTGATGGTGTCTGTTCCCTTATGTAGCATGGTGTCTCATACTGCAAGATCGACAACCAAACCGGCTTTTACATTCTTTACCGCCATGATTTGAACAAAGGCAATTAAAATAGAGGAATGAATCTTTAAAAAAACGTGGCCCGATACAAATTATGCAATTTTAGGTTGTGAGAGGTTGTTGAATGTTGTGCTTCAGTTAGTGGTGTTACGTGTCATTAGTTCCAGATCCATGATGTGAGTGATGAAGAAAGACAAAATATTGGCATTGTATCGCTGCAGTGTCTTACTACATGCAGCTGGGGTGGATTCTTGCAAGTGGAGCATGAGCTGACCTTTTTATTCTGGTAATTTAATAATTTTCTTACATTTAAACATAGAAATAGGATATCTTATCATGAAATATATTAAATTATTGTATTGCAAAATCTTAATTTTAGATACAGACATAATATCGGCTACGGAGTGGTTTGTGAAGTGCTGGTTTTTCATTGAGAAATTGATTTCATTGCTATCTACAAGTATAGGATTCAAAACTCAAATTTTTGCGAATGTAATGGAAGTTACTAAACTATTTAATTCTGCTTTTATCGCCCTATTTCTCGCTAGGACGATTTCATAATGATTTCCTGTATCAACTTCCCTGTGTTTTTCTGCCTTTAACATTTTGGTTATTGTAGTGGTGAGGCTATTAATTTCTTTCTGCACTTCGTTGTTGACAGTAAACTGCCTCTCCTGTGAGTTGATCAAATGTGTTCGTGAAAGTCATCATGATGAGGCGTCCCAGTGATGTATTTCAGGACTGTTCCTAATGCATTCAGGCTTCTAGCTTGCCTATGGAGAATATTTACCGTCTGTATCAGTCTACTTATTTGGTTTACGCCGTATCCAGCAACCTTCTCACATGAGTTTGGGGAAAGTGGCTTGTAGCTATCCGTCTCTTAGTAATTCTTTTAAGGTTAGGTTAGTAACAAGTTTTATGTGTCCAAGTTTTTCCAAATTACGAAATGCCCGTCGGTTACCGGAGTGTATCTCGCATTATAATAGTCCATTAACCGTCCATTTGATGCCGACACTAATATGGCTGTGACTAATCTTAAGGCAGTACTAAAAAATGTAAGCAATATTTCATTTAACTCACGACCAATATAAGATATCTTCTTTCTTTACATTATAGGAAATGTTAGTGTTCGCTAATCGACCATTAATTCTTATTAGACCATCTTTATCCAAAAACAGATTGACTGCACGCAGTGAGGTTTAATGTGAAATGTATTTCATCGTGAAATGTCTCTTGCGAATTATGAAACATTTGTGTTATTCGGACAACAACCAATGATTTTACTCCTCTTGAGACAGAATCTTACCATTTGGAAACTCAGATTTTTCATTATTTTCTTGACGCTTCTTCATACGAAATATACATCCTACAACCCACAGTGCTTTGTTGTAAGAAGAAACCCTGTTTTTTTTATCAATTATATTTAATAATAATTGGTGCGCAATGTACAACTACTTTTCGTTTTAAAATTATACTTGATGTTTGCGTAGCAAATTGAACAAAACCCCAAACCAAAAAATAGATAAGAATAAAAAAAAACGATTTTTTAGAAAAATGTTCCAATAGAAATATTGGCAATTTATTAAATAATATTGTTGTAAACAATATTTACCTTTTTAAAAATATGGCGCTAGATGCTGTGTGGATGTAATCCAAGAACAAGAATAACGAAAAAAGCCAAGGGGTCGCAAAGCGGCGCATAAGCCAAAATCGTTACTCGTTAGAATTTGACAGCACATATTTGTAATAAATATTACAAAGTTGCACAAAATAGTATGAATCGAATTCTAACGAGCGAAAAAACTTAAATTAATTAACAAAAATTATTTGCTTTAAACATTTGCCGGCCGCCTTGCAACTTCTTGCCGAGTTGCAATATAAACTAATGTGCATACATTAAAAAAGCTACAACAATATTTAAAATTCATTGTATTATTATTCAATTACTTTTTTTTCCAAAGTTATAAATGCGCTCGTCGAGCTAAAGGCAGTAGAGGACTACCTTAATTAAAAAAAAAAAATATTCCTCGTCCACAATGGCGCGGGCAAGCTCTTTGGCGAGTGACCCAGAACAATACGAGCCGCTTTAAAGAATTGAGGATCGGCCAGCATCATACCTTCATAATGGTTTGCTATTTCTTCCGATGCGGACTCGGATGGTGAAACTATGTGTCTCAACTCCGTGACCCTGGCAGACACCAACAGCTTTTGGGAATCATTGTAGGACGATGCTAATGTGCATTGTACAAAGCGATCGGGACCTAGGGGGATGGTTTGTAACCGCAACGACTGGACCAGCGATATACAGATTCGGCTATTGCCAGCGCATGGGTCCAGAAGTGCTCGGACAGGGACTCGCCGTGAATTTAGGACCAACTGCGCAATTATAGTTGGACCCAGAGTTACAATCGGTTGAATTGCTAAATTTTGAGTAGGATTCACAGGAGTCAGTGATGCGGACGGACAATTTGAGGCAGACGGACGCTTAAACTTTTTTGCAGACGGACGAGGTGTATTGCTCTGTGAAGGAAGGGTGTTAGATGGACATAAGAGTGTGTGGTGTCTGCCCCTGCAATTTCGGCAAGCAGAATCCTTCTTGCAGTGACGAAGGGAGTGGCCGGAGTCCAGGCAATTTGAACAATGCTGCAGTCTTACTACGGTCCTGATGCGCTGGTCTAGTGGCATACTTTGAAAGGCGTTGCATTGACGCAAGTGGTGCCTTTGATAGCACTTTCGACACCGGAGCTTCGAGGAACCTTTAGAGCCCGCAGTAGATTTCGGCGTCGCCACTGGGTCGTTGCCTGACGAGCGTCCATCAGAACCAACCTGTGCAATCTCCCGTGGAGGAGTGGCTGGCTCGGAAGACCTCCCTGCCATGGAAGAGGAAGTAGTAGGAGCTGCCTCCGTCGGAGAAGCGGCATCTTCAATTTTTGTACCAGTGCCATCTAATGGTGTCGGATCCAAATCAGTTAGTGGGACCATCACAATGTCTTCGACATCTCTTTCTTCGTCTGACATGGGGACGTCATCCTCATAGTCGGGGAGTGAAGTGGCTACCATCTTGTTTAAATTTTCCATTCTGTGAAAAATAGAGATGGAGCGACAGCGAAAGAGTAAACAATATATTATTTGGTCAAAACGACCAGCTTAACCACGGGTCGTCGTACAATGCCATTTTCGGTTTTCACGTCAGCAACTCGAACGCGAGAATCTGTGCCTGGGAAAACGTTAATAACGCGACCTAATTTCCATGCAGTTGGTGGCAATTGTTCATGTCGAATCACGACTAAATCGTCCGTCTGGATATCGCGCTGCGGAAATTTCCATTTATAGCGTTTATGGAGACTTTTTAAATACTCTTCCTTCCACCGTAGGCAGAATTTATGTGTAAGAGCTTTAATTTTTCTATACCGGTTGACAATATCTAAAGGAGATTCATTTATTAACGGTTCTGGAGGAGCAAGAATTGGAGATCCTATTAAAAAATGACCTGGTGTGAGAGCTAAGACATTATCGGGACTATCATTCATCGGACAAAGTGGTCGAGAGTTTAAACAAGCTTCAATTTGGGATAAAATTGTTGAGAATTCTTCATGTGTATATTTGAGATTCTTAGCGTGTTTTCGAAAATGTTGTTTAAAACTTTTCACTGCAGCTTCCCAAAGACCTCCCATGTGTGGGGCCCCCGCTGGGATGAAACTCCAAGAAAGTTCTTGATATTGATATGCAGAACATATCCTATCGCGACTTGCTTGTATTACTGATTTGAAATCACGCTCTAATGCTCTGGATGCGCCAACGAAATTAGTACCATTGTCAGAGAAAATAGTCCTAGGACATCCGCGTCGCGAAATGAACCTATGAAATGCTGCTAAAAATGTTGTCGTTGACAAATCTGATGTTGCTTCTAGGTGTATTGCTTTTGTAGAAAAGCAGACAAAAACACAAACATAACCTTTTGTTACTTTACAACATCGACCAGAAAAGGACTTAAGATCGAATGGACCAGCAAAATCTACACCTGTAGTGGTAAATGGTCTAGCTATGGTCGTTCTCTCTGGAGGGAGAGCAGCCATAATTTGTGTGCAAGATTGTTTCTTTTCCAATATGCAAGGTTTACAATGACTAACGACAGTGCGAATAAGTGATGTCAATCGTGGAATCCAATACTCACTGCGTATTAGTCGTAATAATAATTGAATTCCACCATGAATAGAAACAACGTGAAGTTTTTCAACTAAAAGACGGGAATAGCGACATTTATAAGGTAATAGAATAGGATGTCGCTCGGAATAAGAGAGAGTAGGCGAACGAACTAATCGCCCATTAAGTCTCATAAGACCTGCTTCATCCAAAAATGGATTTAATGTCAAAATTGAACTTTTCGATTCTAATGGTCTACCATTGGAAAAACAATTATACTCCTCTGCATAGTGTGCTTTTTGAGACAAAATTATAAGACGTATTTTTACATTGTTAAGCTCAGTAATCGTTGGTGAGTTTTCGTGAAATGTGTTTTTATTGAGGTTCGGGCGTATCTTATAATAATATCTAAAAACGAACGCTATTATTCTAAAAGCCTTATCTAAAGACGAAAACCGGTCCAAAATATCGGCATAATTTTCAAAGTAAGAGAAATGCGCCTTTACAGAACGCATTTCCAAATCTGTCTCAAGAACCGACAAATCACGAAACCTCCACTGAGAGCTATCTAAACGGAGCCATTGTGGTCCGTGCCACCAGATTGGGGAGGAAGCCAATTCAGCGGGTGTAAGTCCTCGACTTCCCAAATCGGCGGGGTTGTCTTCTGAGCGCACATGGTACCAGATATTTTGACCAACATTTTCTTTTATTTTAGACACCCTATTAGCAACAAAAGTGGACCAAGTCGATGGAACTTTCTTCAACCATGAAAGGACAATCGTAGAATCAGTCCAAAAGCAAATTTTTTGAAAATCTATATCTATCTCAGCGGTAATGGCCTTAAAGAGTTCTGATGCCAAAACCGCACCACACAATTCTAAACGTGGTAGCGAGATCGACTTAATAGGAGAGACTTTCGTCTTACATGAAAGCAAATGTGTAAAAATGTCACCATTAGAAGCTAATATACGAATATATACCACCCCCGCATATGCCTTTTCAGAGGCATCTGAGAAAATATGAAGCTCAGCTGAACAATCAGGGGCATACTTTATCCAACGAGGGACTTGAATCGAATTGACGTCCTGGTACGTCTCAACAAATTTTTGCCAATCACGTAGTGTAGTGGATGGAAGAGAATCATCCCAATCTATTCGATCTAACCATATACGTTGCATTATAATTTTTGCAATTATTAAAACAGGACCTAACCACCCAATAGGATCAAACAATTTAGCAATGGTGGAGAGTACTTCCCGTTTGGTATAAGTTAGTTTTTTAAAAAGAGGTTTAACATTGAAGTAGAAAACGTCTAATTGCGCATTCCATCGAATTCCTAGTGGTTTAGAACTACTAGTTTCGACGAAATCAAGGAGCTTAGTGCTTATTAAGTGCTCAGCTGGAAGACATTCCACTATAGAACGATCATTCGCAGTCCATTTCCGCAAGTCAAATTTAGCTGATTTTAATGCACAAATCAACTGATCCCTAGAGTGGCACGCTGTTTCCAAGTCATGGTATCCTGTTAGAACATCGTCGACATACATGCACTTCCGTAGGACATGTGCTGCAAGTGGAAACTGCTCTTCAGTGTCATCTGCTAACTGCAATAACGTACGAATAGCAAGGTATGGAGCGCAATTAACTCCAAAAGTTACCGTTTGTAACTCAAAGTCTTGAATGGGCACATCGGGAGAATCCCGAAATAGAATTCTTTGAAGAGGCGTATGAAGTAGATCTAATAGAATTTGACGATACATTTGGGTAATGTCGCAATTGAAGACATATTTAAAGAACCTCCACCTCAGTATGAGGAAGACAAGATCTTGTTGAAGTGTCGGACCGACGTACAAAATGTCATTGAGGCTATTCCCATTTGATGTTTTATTTGACGCATTGAAGACTACCCTTAATTTTGAAGTTTGCTTTTCTAAATTTATAACTGGATGATGAGGCAAGTAGCAAAATGTAGAATCTCCAGAAGGAATGGGTACTGGTCTCATGTGACCTAAATCTAAATATTCTTTTAATACATCATCATAAAGTTTCTTAATATTAAGCCTTTTTAAAAGAGATACCTCATTACGAATAAATTGTCGTAAACAATTTGTTCTAGAATGCCCAAGGTCAGGTTTGACGTGAAATTCAGGTTTGATAGGGAGAGTGACAATATATCTGCCATTGGAGTCCCTTCTAGTCGTGCGTCTATAATTAACTTCACAATATTTGTCAGCCGGGGACAAGATTGAGCGTTTTGGAATTTCCTCTAATTCCCAAAATCTAAGAAGCGTCTTATTAAGAGCCTCTTCTTCAGAATATTCTACATTGGTAGAGAAAACCCTTATGTTGTTGGGGGAAAGGGGACCAGTAATGATCCAGCCGAGCACAGTTTTTTGTGCAATTAATGAGCCTAGAATATTAGATTGCAAACCATCCAGCAGAAGTTTGGGATATACGTCTGCACCTAGCAACATATCAACAGGTCTGCAGTCAAATAACTGAGAATCTGCTAAATGTAAATGGGATAGACGAGATGAAATATCACTATTAACAACAAATGATGGAAGATTTCCTGAAATAGTAGGAACCACTAACGCCGTTATCTCCATAAAAAGTGACATATCTATACATGAACTAAGACCGAACGAACACAATTTGTTGGACTTTGTGGATACTGTTTGATTCACCCCTGATATAGTAGCATGGGTGGATGATGTACAAAGACCTATACGTTTTTGCAACCTTTCAGTAATAAAGGATGCCTCAGAGGCTGGATCAACCAGTGCACGAGCTGGATACGTAGTACCCTGGTGAACTATATTCACCATTGCTGTGCCCAAAAGAACTGTTCTATTTTGCGAAGTATGAAATACCTGTCGATTCACTGAACTTGATGATTGGCCAGACGAAGTGGATGGAAGGTTTGGATTGCGATTGACAGCTTCTGGAAGATTACTTGTGGAAGAGGGGCCTGAGGAGCCATTGGAAGAAGGCGGTACATTATTGACTGAAATGCCAGTTGTGGGAGTTTCACGATGTAGTAGAGTGTGATGTCTTTTCTTACACTTAGAACAACTATATGTGCTACTACGGTTTTTGACATCATGACCTCGGGAGAGGCAATTGATGCAACAATGGTGACGTTTTACAATAGAAAAACGATCAGCTAATGAACGATTTCTAAACTCAGGACATATTCTTAAATGGTGAAATTGCCTTGGACATAACAAACAACATTTATCAGCAGATGTTCGAGTGGAATGAGAAGAAGATGCAGAAAGTGGGTTGGCAGAATTTGTAAAATGTGATTTTACCTTCTTAATGTCACCCTTTTTTGACTCGTCTATACCTTTTAGATCTCGAAGACAAGTTAATGTTTGGATTCTTTCCGAAAGAAAGAGATCCAAATCCTTCCAAGTCGACAAAGCAGACTTGTCTTTTACATTTTGTTCCCATATGGTAACAGTTTGTTTGGGAAGTCTTTGCAAGCAAAGAAATACCAATATGGGATCCCAACCGTCGGTCGGAACATCATACAAAGCCATAGCGGAGACACAACTATTTATTCCACGCTGCAAATTTTTTTAACCTGAACTTGACTCGCGCTCAAGCACTGGAAGCTCGAAAAGAACTTTCAATTGATTATTCACTAAAATGCGCACATTATCGTAGGTTTCCTTCAAAGCTTTCCAAGCTAAACTGAAACTTTTATGTGTCAAGGGAAACTTAGAGACAATATCTCGAGCTTCTCCACTCGTCTTTTTGTGAAGGTGACACAGTTTTTCTATTTCGCTTAAACGAGAATTGTTTATGTAGACCGCTGAGAAGAAATCCCTGAAGGTTGGCCACGAAAGAAAATCGCCATTGAATACATCGATGTCGCACGGTGGTAAATTTAAGCTATGACTGGAACTATCTTGGAAAGAAATGTTTGAAATATCCTGAAAGTTCGTTGAACGATTTGAAACCTCTGTTATTGAAACTACATCTTCAGATTGAGGGGAACCGACATGTGATGTTCGTGAGGGTGCGTTCACCTTAGGAGTGGTAGGTGCAGTATTGGACCTATTTTTAATTTCATCTGCTTTCCTATTGATTGCCGACAACACTTGGACGAAAGCCTTGTAGGCGACCTCATACTTGCTATCAGCTGATGTAATATCTTCGCTACAGGCATCGTCATAAGTTTGTAAATAATTTAAGCATTTGTCAAACATTTCTTTAACCTTACTCCACAGTTCGCGTGCTTCATTTCCTTGAATTTCTAAAGAATAAATATCAAGATCATCGTCACGTAAGGAAGCGAAGTTAGCATCGAACTTGACAAGAGCATCCGTGGCTCTGATAAAGAAATCGAGGGGAGTTAGCACCATTTTGACAAATTAAAACCACAAAGTATAGAAAAAAAATTGGAGAAAGTTTTAAAACAGAGTAAGAAAATAGCGAAAATAACTCCAATTCCTTTATAAATTTAACAATAAAACGTAGTTCTCCAGAACCGAAGATGAAATGTGCAAAAATTTGATACGTTGTATCGAAAAATTCACTTTTTGCAAATAAAGAAAAGTATGAAAATCTCCCAAAAAAAATATTTTTGCTAAAAATACACTGAAATTTCTCTCAATGAATTATTTTAGACTCTAATTTTTTTATATTATAAAAATGAATGAAGATAAATTGAATTTTTATGCAAATTTTCTAAGTATATAATTAAATTCTAGCAAAAAAAAAAATATTTTTTTATTGCAAAATGGTAATTTTTATAGTTTTAGTTGTAGGGTGCATGGACTGTAAATATCTGTAATTACAAATTTCATTACCATAAAACCATCAATTACTTATCCCAAGTCGCAAAGATTTGTTTTATTTTTTTTTTTTAACAAATGTAATTGTTATATAATTATTTTAATATTTATCAATAAATTTAATAAAAATAATCGATATTATCGACTGTAGGGTGTACAAAATTACGTTGACACCAAAAGCATTAAATTTATTTTCAAAATCTATAAAAAATGTATTTTCTTAAAAAAAAATATTTATATTCGATTACCACTGTATTTCCACTGGCTAAACGAACCTCGTATATTAACAGATGTTGTGTGTATGTGTGCGCGCAGCATCAACGCATCAAACAAGCACTGCTGTGGTGGGTATTTATTTTGTTTTTTTTTTTTTATGACCACTCAACGCAAACGAATAGCCGTGATTATTGTTGGTGGATTTTTTCTTATTTTCTTTTGCTTTAGATTTATTTTTCTTGCAGGCACACGAACAAATTATTTCAATATTATTAGAGAAAAAAATCACCACTGTTCACAGCACTGTTTTGATGCACTTTTGTTGGTATCTTTTATTTTTCTTTCTTCTATTTTCGTGTAACGAAAATATGAATATTATCTAAAACTGAGCGACACACAACAACAACACTACGCGGGCACTGTTCAAACGACCGTAGGTTAAGCTTTCTATTTCGATATTTTGCTTTTTTTATTTTTTAAACAAAACACTAGAATGCACTGTACGTACCTTTTTGTTATTATTAAAATGTATTGAAGATGGAGGGTTATTTGTTGAAGGGTGATGCGAGTTGACGTAGTCAAACCTTTTTAAAAATAGAAGAGGAGAATTCCTTATTAATTGATTTTGGATCCGGCTCGTAATGGACCAATGTTTGCGTAGCAAATTGAACAAAACCCCAAACCAAAAAATAGATAAGAATAAAAAAAAACGATTTTTTAGAAAAATTTTCCAATAGAAATATTGGCAATTTATTAAATAATATTGTTGTAAACAATATTTACCTTTTTAAAAATATGGCGCTAGATGCTGTGTGGATGTAATCCAAGAACAAGAATAACGAAAAAAGCCAAGGGGTCGCAAAGCGGCGCATAAGCCAAAATCGTTACTCGTTACAATTTGACAGCACATATTTGTAATAAATATTACAAAGTTGCACAAAATAGTATGAATCGAATTCTAACGAGCGAAAAAACTTAAATTAATTAACAAAAATTATTTGCTTTAAACACTTGATTTTGGCCAATTATTTTCAGGCCTAAGTAACCAGATTGGACCATTCCACCATAGCGATTTTTACATAAATCTTCAATACTGGGACTTCTAGTTCCAAGGTCTGCTGGATTACACTTTGTAGAAACATGTATCCGTTTACAATTTTCAACATTTTGAAATATTAATGCAGTTCTGTTTGCAACATACGTATTCCATGTGAATGGATGTTTTTGCAACCATGACAATACAATTGTTGAATCTGTCCATACATGAACAGAACAATTTTTAACATTCAAATTTGAGACAATATATTTTACCAAAGATGAGAGCTAGACGGCACCACAAAGCTCTAGTCTTGGTAAACTTTTTTCAATGGTGTAACCATGCTCTTAGCTGTCAACAAGTTTACAGTTGTGCTGTTCCCTGTATTCATGTGAATATATAATGCAGCACAGTAGGCCTTCTCAGATGCATCACAAAAACCATGTATTTGAATTGTGCCCTCTAGGCAAAATTTAATCCATTTTGGGATTTGTATTGAATCAATTTTTGAAAATTGATTCATAACAATTTTCCATTTAATCAATGTGGATGATGACACTTTATCATCCCCATTAATTCCTTCTAATCAAAGGTAATGCAACAAAGTTTTAGCCTATATTAATAAAGGCGTTAACCACCCTTTTAGTTATTTGGCCAGTCACCTCTAGTGACTTCATACTATAAGAAAATGAGTCGTTAATGGCATTCTACCGAGTACCTAATGTTTTAATTGAACTCATATCTTCAATTCTCAAAAATTCTTCTTACAATAAATCCTCTGATCGGACGTTTGAAGGCAAACTCGGTTGATTTGCCATTATTTTTTTTCAACGGAAATCCTGCCGAATGCAATGTATCAATTAGTTGTTTTTGCGTCTCTAACGCTAAAGCAAAAGTATGACCTAGCGTCAAAACATCACCAACATATACCTCGTTTTTATTATATTAGACGCAATTTGAATTGTTTCTCTTGACTTTTCTGCCAATTATAACAATGTGCGAATCCCCAAATAAGGAGCACAGTTTACACCAAAAGTAACTGTCCATAACTCACAATCTTTAATTTCGTCATTACCATCTTTCCTGAATAATATTCTTTGATACTGCCGATCAGAAGGATGCACAAAGATCTGTCTGTATATTTTCTCAATGTCACCTTTAAACATTTACTTGTACAAGCGCCAATTCAAAATTATAGACATTAAATCATTTTGTAATATAAGCCCTGTATACCAAATATCATTTAAGGAATACGAGCTTTTCGCTTACTCGATCCATTAAAGACCACTCTCACTTTTGTGCTTCTACATTCTGGTCGAAAGACAACAAATAAAAAGAAATAAAACACAAGGGTTTTCTTAATATATAGAACTATTTATTCTTAGCTTGGTGGGTGGGTAACAATATTACCTGTGGCAACAATATGCCCTTCTATGCGCAACGATATGTGCTGCAAACGATATTGCCGGTGTTGTCTGTCCGAATGACAGCCAAATACTCCTTGATGTCTAAAGGAGGCGGCAAAACAAGTGACAACTAATTACTCGTTAAAATGTCAAAGGCGCTAGCACAAAGTTGCAATAAACCGTAGCGCGTACATTTTAACGAATAATTGAGGACCAAACCAGGGGTCAATAAAAACATTTTGTACAGCGATTTTGAACGAACAAAATTAGATTTTTGATTTTCGACTCCAACCGATGTGGAGGATGTACATTTCGAGGGACGAAAAACGGGGGCTGAAACTGACAACAACGATTTTGCTGCGCTTGACGAAGCCTTTGGAGTCAGAACCGGAAACGCACTATTCGGTTTTAATGACTCGCGATGTAATAACGTGTGATGACGTTGACCACATTTCCAACAACTATTTTTACTAGTACAATTTACTAGTTTATGTCCCTTTGCCAAACAATTTATACAATGTTCGTAGCGCTTGACGAATGCAAACCTATTTGCGGGGGATAATTCCTTAAATTTTGAGCAAAAATGAAGTCGATGGCATTTATCTCGGCAAAGAGAACATGATTTTCCAATTGTAGGGGAAGATAAACTTTTGGGATGGGAATTCCTAGCAGTATATAACGAATCTGAACTAGGCGAAGGAATCGATTTCTCTTGATAACTTTTCAAACACACAAGCGTGTTTATCCTTTCTGAAAGGAAGGTGTCTAAATGTTTCCACGAAGAAAGAGCCGCTTTGTTTTTAATACCTTGTTCCCACAGCATTTGCGTTTCTTTCGGTAAACGTTGAAGGCAAAGATATACCAGTATCGGATCCCATTGATCTGTGGGAACGTTATAGGTCGACATTGAGGAGATAAAACGATTAATTCCACATCTAATCTCTTTCAAACCAGAAATTGTTTCCTTGTCGAGAACCGGAAGGCAAAATAGCGACGACAACTGATGATGTACCAAAATTCGAATATTGTCGTACTCATCATTTAATGCTTTCCAAGCGAATCCGCGATTTGTTAAAGGAAATTGCGAAACTATTTCCCTTGCATCACCAGCAGTCTTTTGCAGCAAGTAATACAGGCGATGCACATCACTCAAGCGAGAGTTATTTATATAAATGGCGCTAAACAAATCCCGAAAGGAAGGCCAAGAAGAAAAATCTCCTTTAAAAATTTCAATATCAATTGTGGGCAATGCCATATTGTGAACGATATCACAACCAGAAGAAATATTTGCCGCCATATTATCCTGCGATTCAGGAGCCAAAAGTAATTGAGCCGATTGCTCTTGATTTTTATCCGCAATTTTCATCGAATTTCTTGTTATGCCCCGATATTTGATAATTTTTCTATTAATTGTTGCCATTGTACTTGAATAAATGTTTAAAGAAGCGTTGTGTTTATTTTCTGCTAAATGCAGATGTTCTTTTGTTATATTTTCCGAATTTTCTAAGAGACGCAACGATTTATTTACCGATTGCCATAGTTTTTCTCACTTGCTCTTCCTTTCCTCTAAAAAACTAGTATCTATACCATCCTCTACTGCACCGATTTGTGCACCAAATTCTATCAGAGCGTCTGAGTCTCTTATGAAATTTTGTAGAGGAGCGAAGGCCATAATTATAGCAAAAAACACTGAACCAATTTGGGGAAAAATACAAAAATAAATAAAATAACTATTTTATTTTTATTTATTTAATTTTCCAGAATTACCGTCTATAGGTTGTATTAATTTTTAAATTTCCAAAACAACAACAAAAAATAAAATTAACTATATTATTTTATTTTAGTTTTAACTTTCCAATGTCCTATAACAAACAATGTAACTAACAAAAGTGACCGACCCACGTAGTGTAGCTACTCAACCTAAACGGACACGACAGAAAGAGGAATCAACAAAAATATTCTTCCTTCGTTTGTTATGTTCGTTCACTGATCTAACAAAGCACAAACAACAAGTGCTGATCAGAGAACGACGACAAAGCAAGCAAACAGCGGTGGGGGTTTAAACAGTGTTGTTGTTGTTTGCGATTTGAAATGTGACTGTTGTTACAACAAGAGAAAAGAATAAATGTAACAACAACAATTTGCAATATTACAGCGGACAGACCAAACAAAAAGAATAATATTGCGGTCTTTGCTTTAGGTAGTAAAGCACACCAAACTAATAACAACGACGACGTTTTTGTTGGTATCAACGAAAGAAATATTGTATGTTTTGTTGTTTGAAACGAACCAAAACAAAAAGAAAATTAACGAACGATTTTTGCAGTTTTACTTTTGAGTTTTGTTTTCATTTTGATGCTGCCGAATACAAGCATCCAAATTAGAAGCCGACGATTGGCGGGAAACAAAACAAAAGGGAAAGAGGTGACGTTGTAAAACGACCTTTGTACCCAAACAAAACCGATTGTTTTGTTGGTGTCGCGGTAATTTAATAACGCGAGCTCACTTAAAAACAACACTGCACTATACGTACCTTGTAATGCAGGAGTAATGGACTGTATCTTTTGGGTTCCAAATGCGTTCAAGAGGGCTGGAATATCCGGTTCGATTGGACCAATGTTTAGCTCAGAGGGGCTCCGCCGATGGGAGTGAATACGCCGAATGCGTCGAGCAGTGGACCGTAGGGGGGAAATATAAAAAGGAATAAAACACAAGGGTTTTCTTAATATATAGAACTATTTATTCTTAGCTTGGTGGGTGGGTAACAATATTACCTGTGGCAACAATATGCCCTTCTATGCACAACCATATGTGCTGCAAACGATATTGCCGGTGTTGTCTGTCCGAATGACAGCGAAATACTCCTTGATGTCTAAAGGAGGCGGCAAAACAAGTGACAACTAATTACTCGTTAAAAAGTCAAAGGCGCTAGCACAAGATTGCAATAAACCGTAGCGAGTACATTTTAACGAATAATTAAGGACCAAACCAGGGGTCAATAAAAACCAACTTTAATGCAATTCTAAATTAAACAATAGTGTATTTAATTTTTGTTGTTGTTTTCGATCTTTTAGAAATTGAAGCACCCTATAGGCTGTCATTTTGGCTAATTAAATAAATAAAAATAAAGTTGTTATTTTATTTATTCTTGTATTTTTCCCCAAATTGGTTCCGCGTTTCTACATTTAATTATGGCCTTCGCTCCTCTACACACCTTCTTTAGAGCATTGGACGCTCTAACAGAATTTGGTGCACAAATAGGTGCAATAGAAG